TGAATGTTGATACTCTAGCTGCAGCACTTGCCGTAAAATTCAATATGAAGGATATTTCTTGTTCAGATATTTCCAATATATTGTTAGAAGATGATACATTGACAAAAAATATTCATTCAATGGAAAAGTACTCATTTAAATAATTAATAGGCATGTAAGCATAATTACAATATAAAATGTTATTGTTACAAATGTTTTTTATTATGCATTGATCATATTATAGTGTATTCTGTATTATTGTTGCAATAAATACAATGTTTCTTTTATTTACGATATTTTTTTCTTCAATTTATTCGTGTCCTCCTTTTTGTTGTAAAAAAGTTGGTCACCTTAGTTTAATGTTCTGGGAGACAAGGGATAATATCTTTGCCCAAACTGTGGGTGACATCTTTACGTACACAGGATTTACATAATTCTTTTCTTAACCACTTCTGCCAATTATTATTATTAACTGTTTTTCAAATATTAAGAAGCTTCAGAATGGCAGATTTTATCAACTTGTCTCTTAGTGAAAGAAGTTGATAACCCTCTCAGGTAAACAAGACAGGAAACATGACTAGATGAGCTAATTCTATTTCAATATAAGGTCATATTACCAGAATCTTGCAATTCTGAAGGAATAAACTTCCCATTACCACTTTTAACCACCTGAACAATTAGGGCAGGTTCTTCCTAAATTTCTTTTTCTGGCTGTTAATCCATTGGAGACTCCTGTTTCTCTTATTAGATTTTTTTTTCCAGGGAGCATCTGGTTCCCTCCTTCCCCAAAGTCATCTACAGATTTCATTAAAGGACTTTTATCCAACTTTAAGCACTCACAAAAAAACCTGTATTGAAATAAACAGCAAAAGGTTTGATTTTGGAGATACAGATGGACTAAGGATTCAGATAGATTTGAAAGCAAATTTGAAATTAATTGTAAGAACTTCCCATTGAAAAATACTGTTGTTTCCTTAAAAAAAAAAAAAACCATGATAAGATGGGATTAGAAAGTTTGGGCACTAAAGGGAACCAGAAGGAACTAAAAATTTAATAAAAGCAGAACACTTAAATTTGACACACCAATATACCATGGAGCAAAATGCTCTATCTTTGGATGAATTGAAAGATATTTGGGAGCAATGGACTCAGAAGTTAATTTAAGTTTGTCTGATAATATAGATAAACTGGATTTAAAAGAGTTTATAGAAGAGGAACAAATTTTATTGGATAAGATTGAGGCTAAGGCTGATTTGAATTGGATTTAAAAATGATATGCCATAAGAATGGTATAGAAAAAGATGTTCCATTGGATACATAAATGAAATCAGCTGATATAGCAATAATTAAAAGAGATATACAAATAACAAACCAAAGAAGTGATTTGGATAACTTTATTAGTTTGGATTTACAAATGAGACTTTTTAAAGTTTTGAAGCATTTTCTAAGATGTTAAAGAGTAAATGAAAAAAAAAGGTCTGGCACATTATTTAAAGGGATTAAAGATCAAGATTGTTAAAAGCAAAAGGAAGGAATATACAGGTAAAGTTTTTTTCCAAGAAAAAAAATGAAGTTGGGTTATTTGATCAAGGTAAGAGGTTGTTTCTGTAACCTTTAATGGACTTTTGCTGAATGACGTGGTTTATATTTATAGATAAGAGATAGCACATGGGGAGATTTTTTGTGATATTTTCAGAGAAAGTGATAAATTACTGGGTTAAAAGTAAAGGGAAGGAATATGAAGTTGATTTATTTGATTAAGGTTAAAATATATATGGTAATCCTTAAATGGTGTTTTGCTGACTAGGATCCAAACAAAGATTTAAGAAGTAGGTTATAGATCAGGGATAAGGGATATGAGATTTTTGTTGTATTCTCAGAGAAGATAAGTTATTGAAATTGTTTGTACTTCTTGTGATGAAGGGGAAAATCATTTATTTATGTATTTTTCTTTATCTTTACTATGCTTTTATTTTTCCTTTTTTCTTTTCTTTTCTGCACTTTCTATCTTTTCATTCTTTTATATTTTTTAATTTGTATTTGTTTTTATCTGTGCAACTGTAAACTTTAATAAAAATTTTATAAAAAAAAGAATGGGTAAAGTAATAGTCTTTCTTAGATAACGGTATGTGCTTATATACAGTACTATATTTTGTGAGTCTCTGGAGGCAGCACTATCATGCTGAGTTTGGAAGCTAAGTAGGATCTAACTTGGAGTAAAACTATGTCCTAGAAGAAAATAAATTACTTTCCAACTGTTGCCAAGAAAACTCCATTGATATATCCATAAAATGATCAGATGTCGAGCCACTGTTAATTCATAACAATAGCCAGTTTCTTTGGTTCATGGCAATGCTAAATTGTAATCAAATAGCTTATTACTTTATATTACACTGTATTCTTTTAGGAGTTACTATTAGAATTGGAAATACTTGTCCAGATATCTGAAGACAATGAATTAATGAATTATTAGTATAAAATTATCTAATTGTAATTTCATTTCAGTAATTCCTTTGATAATGGTGACTATGCATTTGTTGTTCCTCATAAAACATATTAGTAGAAGAATCCAGAAAGAGAATAGAAAATCGGAGCAAGGCATTTTCTTAGTATGATGTGCTTACTTCTGAAATTGCTTTGCAACAGCCATTACAATAGCAATTCAGAGTAAGAGGAGCATTTCTAAGATCCTACTTACAGAAACCAAAATACAAGCCTGACACACAAATAAAAGAATGTTAAATGGTAATCTGTTTTATTGGATTTTTTAAAAAATAGAAATAAATATTTTTCCCTCTGTACTATCACTTACTTTGAAGGCCTAAACCAGGGGTAGGCAACCTTGGCTCTTTTATGACTCGTGGACTTCATCTCCCAGAATTCCTGAGCCAGCATGGCTCAGCATGGCAACCTCTCCCTTTCCCCTCAGCATGGCTGGCTCAGGAATTCTGGAAGTTGAAGTCCACGAGTCATAAAAGAGCCAAGGTTGCCTACTCCTGGCCTAAACTTTCCTGAATACAAAGAGATTAAAGAAGCATGATTTTGTGCAATTTAGAAATTTGAGTGCAGTAATTCATAATTCATTTTATTTATTAAATGAATTTATATATCAGCCCAACACACACATAGGTAATTCTGTGTGGCTTACAAAATTTAAACAATTCAACTATAGAATAAAAACCTATGTAAAAAGCATACCCCACCCCTCATGGCAGAAAAAAAACGCAATCACTTGATCAGCTTCATTTCTATTGATGGTCCTCACTGCCTGCTGACAAAACCACATTTTTGGGGTCCTTAGGATCAATCCATTCACCAATGAGATTTCTTAAAAGTAGTCCTGCTTTGAAATCCATTTCTTTGCTTAGCATTAAGTTACAAGAAAAATATATATGATTTTTAAAAGATTTTATCCAGTCATGTTATACTTTAATCAGTTATTATTTACTTTAACTGAGTAATAAATTACTATTCCTTGAAGTGTAACTGCAAAATCAGTTTTATTACATTAATAACACTGTACATATTGAGTACTTGTTTTTCTCGGAAACACATGGGAAAATGTCTGTTGCTCTAATCCTATTAAAAATAATCTTAGATAAAAATATGAAAGTACAGAAAAACTGGTGAAAGGAACTCAAAATTCTACTAAATTGCCTAGAAAAATTGCTTGATTTCTCTCTCCCCCCCCACTTGCAGATTGAAAGATTGCTTAAATAAGCAATTTCTGTAACAAACTCTCCTGTGCCTGACCTGTTTTTTTCTCACATTGTAGAGCAGAGATTGGAGTGAAAGGATTACAAAAGAGTAAGCAAGTACACAATGGGGAATATACCAAACTATTTGCACAACATGCCTGAGCATGCTTGGGGCTGCCAGCATCATTGCATTCCTTTTGATATGGATTACCCATTGTGTGCCTGCTTGCTCTCTCTAATCTCTTTTACTCCAATGAATGTAAATATAAACATTCTCTTCTTACTAATTATGGCAGTACTGGGGTGAGCTTTCCAAAAGATGGAGGAGTTGGAAAGGAAAGCACAGTTGCAGTCACATGATTTCCATATAGGGGAAATGCTAAACAAGGACCACCTGTATATAACAAGCAAGTCATTAGATTCCACAAATCTATTTGTTTTGACTTTAAGCAAATATGAAAACACTTATTTACATATTGATAATTTATATGAAACGCTGGATTTTCATTAAATCGATTGCAATTCTGAACTTTTGTGTCAAGAAGATCCAGATTTTTGTTTTAACAGAAATGGGTTGCAACCTTGTATGAAATAAATACATTAGCATTCACTGCAACAACTATGCCCTCAGGTTCCTCTATACCTGTATTTTTTAGAAGTAAATCCTATTGAACTCAATAGGTTTTCTGAACAGCATATATAAAAATAATTGGATACTGTCTGCAGATCCCACATATAAACATTTTGTTTTATCAATGAAACATCTGCTTGTTTCATTTTATGTACTAAGTGAACATTTAATTCATTTTCTGTAAATGTTGGAACTGAATTTAAATCAGCAGTGTCAATACTATATAGAAGTTTATTATGGCTTCTTATTAAATCTTCAAGAAATGCAGAATGGTATATTGGATTTTTAAAAATTATTCTAGTACAGGAATGATGACATTTTCTTGGTTTATGGTTTACACTTAAGCATTATTTTTATGCTCCCTGTAGCATAGCTATCAAGTTATTTAACAGACCTTTCATCGACAATATCTGTACTGTATTTTTTAACTAGAATGTATCTAATTTAAGAATTGGGTATGGAGTATGCAGCAATTTTCAATTTTAGGCAGAAAGTTTTTTTTTAAGTAAAGATGACAGTGTGTTTACTTGGGAGCAAGTCCCACATAGGCGCAGAGAAAATTGCACTGAAAAAGATTTATATTTGGCAGGTGTTAAAACTTTTGAAAAAAATCCAGAAACCACTTATCGTTGTACCATATGCTTTCAGTTTAATGCAAAAGAGTTTTTGTCCAATGCTGGCATCTCCTCCAATTCTTCCCTTTGCATTCATCTTTTTTTAAATTGCCTGTGGCAGAAGTGAGGATCTATTTGCCAACTTCGTTTCCTTTTCATTCCAGATGCTACATCTCCCAGACCATATCATCCCGCACTCACTTTTGAGCAGTCAGTGCCAGGATTGGCTATTAGTAAGTTTAAATTAACTGCATTTAGTGTAGTGGGATAGATGTATTATGCAATTCCAGAGGAACAGGTGAGCAGGATTTTTTTATGATTTGGAGCATGGCAGCGCTGCAGCACTATCAGAATTTGCAGCATTTCCTCCCTCCTTTCATAGAATTAGGGAAAAGACTATTTTCTCAGGCATTAAGAACAAAAAACTCAACCGGCAGAATCTGTTTTAAGGCAACATTTGACTTTTACCCACGCCCACTCAAATTATTTCACTGGACTAATTCTTTCACGACGAAGCCCCAGAGGGCATCCGTTAGTTTTGTTGTTGTTGTTATTTTTGAAAGCTGAGATGCTACAGTATAATAGTAGAGCTGGCACATTCGCCTCCTTAGTGACAGCAGCTGTCGCTATAGGTGGTGGGGGTCTGGCGACGGATGAAGAAGAAGAAAAGCTGTGTGTGTACAACCGAGGGGCTGCATGGCTCACTGGCTCTGGGGTAGCGGTACCCTTTGTCGCCGCCGTCGCCTTTGGCGTTGGAGAGCGAAATGGAGGTGCTAAATCAGGCGGGGTGTGGGAAAGGAAAAACGAGGGACAGGCGGAGCTGAAACATAAGGTCTGCAGATCACCGCATGCATTAACTCACTCCCGGCGCCTGAGCCGCCTTCAGCGGCCGCTATTCCCGCCTCGCTACAGCGCCCAACCAGCCTCGCCAACTCCCGTCTCCCGCTAGCTTGAGGAGGAGAAGAAAAATTGCTCTGAGGGCGCCATCCCCCTCAGGCTGAACAGCAGAACCAGGAGCCAGGTGGATTACATGCCTACATTTCTCTAGTTCTCAATCTCGGAAAAGGGGGGAGGGAGAACCAAAACAAAACGAAAAAACGGGGAGGGAGGTAAAGGGAAAGAATTGCCAGCCTGCTCAAGAAGGATATTTCTTTTCCCTCAGTTTCTGGCTTGTCGCCCAGTGATCGAACTGCCCTTGGAGATTTATAGCAGGGAAGAAGCCACGAGATATGGAAATCCGTGGAACAGCCGTGGCTGTGCCCCGCATTGGTTGAAAGGCGCGCTAAGGAGACCCACACGTACACCCTCTCCCGGAGCCCGACAGGGGCCAGCCGCGCCATGCTGACCCGCATCCACAGAGCAAGTCCTCGGGCGCAATGAGGCAGCCGCTCGCCGCCCAAGGTTGACGCTGTGGCGGCTCCCCTCCGCTCGGGGGCTACTTCGCCTCCTCCTCCTGCTGCTGCTGTTATCAAAGGAGGGCGCCGGCGACTCCCAACGTTAGGCGCGAAGCCGGCAGGAGGCATGAAGGGCGCTACGGTGGAGCCGGGGCTGTAATTGCCCGCTGGGCTTGGCTGTCCTTGGGCTTCTTGGCAGGAGAGGCAGCGCCGAGGAGCTCTGCCCGACGATGCCTTTGTGCGATCCCCGCTCCTCGCTGAGGAGAGGAATCGGCGCCCAAAGGCGGCTGCTGCCCGTCTGACCGACTGCGGCTACTTTGCGCGACGACCAGCCTCTTTCCTCTCTTCTCCTCCGGGCCACCTTTCTGAACTTCCAGGGATGGCCGATTGACGTGCAGGGAAGGTAACGCTGAAATGGGGCTTCTCTACGCGGGCTTGTCTTGGCTCTGAGTGAGAAGGCACATCCCTCTCGAGCAAAGGCAACCAGACGGGTGGCCCCGAAGAACCGGGCGAATTTTGGAGGCGGGGGGGGGGAGGGAGGGAGGGAGCTCCAAAGTAAGAGGAAAGGAGAGAAGGAGGAAGGGACGGAAAGAGGGAAGTGTGAACAGAAAGGAAGGGGAAGGGTTAGAAAGGAAGGGGAAAGGGGCAGCAGAGTGTCCCATTTCTCACCTCTGGCACCCTGCAGATTGGAGACTCTGGCTGCCTTCTTGGTCTTGGAGACTCTGGCTGCCCTCTTGGTATTATGTCTGCACTTCGAAGGAAATTTGGGGACGATTATCAAGTGGTGACCACCTCGTCCAGTGGGTCAGGCTTCCACCAGCAGCAAGGGTCGGCCCACAAGAAAAAGCGCCAGAGGTTTGTGGACAAGAATGGCAGGTGTAACGTGCAGCATGGCAACCTGGGCAGCGAGACGAGCCGCTATCTGTCAGACTTGTTCACCACCTTGGTGGACCTCAAGTGGCGCTGGAACCTTTTCATCTTTATCCTCACTTACACTGTGGCCTGGCTTTTCATGGCCTCCATGTGGTGGGTCATTGCCTACATAAGGGGTGACTTGAACAAAGCCCATGATGAGAAATACACCCCGTGTGTTGCCAACGTCTACAATTTTCCCTCTGCCTTCCTCTTCTTTATAGAGACAGAGGCTACTATTGGGTATGGCTACAGATACATTACAGACAAATGCCCCGAGGGCATCATCCTCTTTCTTTTCCAGTCCATTTTGGGCTCCATTGTGGATGCTTTTCTTATAGGCTGTATGTTTATCAAGATGTCCCAACCTAAAAAGCGGGCGGAGACACTGATGTTCAGTGAACATGCTGTCATATCCATGAGGGATGGCAAACTCACCCTCATGTTCAGGGTGGGCAACCTTCGCAACAGCCACATGGTCTCCGCACAAATCCGCTGCAAACTTCTCAAAGTAAGTTCAAGCTTTCTTGCCTTCAGTTCTATCATATTGAGTATTCATCTTTGCTTCATTTTTGTTTTCCCATTTACAGGTGTATGGTTCCACACCTTTCTTAACAGCATTTCACTTAAAATACATACAGTACATGTTTTTCTACTTCCCACCTCATTTTAAAGGGTTTTTTAAAATTAAAAATTAGAAATGTTTTAGAAGATGCAAGTGAATAAGCTAGAATAGTCAGTTGTCAGGAACACTACAAAATTCCATGAATGAGGCAGGGCAAGGACAAGTTTGATTTCCCTTCCAATATTTTTCAAAGAACTCTTAGTATATTTCTTGTGCTTGAGTTTTATATTTTCACAGTATTTGCATTGCTATTTCCTATAAGGGAATGTTTCCTGAAGCGCATCTCTCTATGAACCCTTTTTCCTTAATCTTTGTATTGCTTCTTGTCTATTTTCCTTTTTTAAAATTCGTGGTTTCCTGCATCTGTGGCTGAGTTCCCTTCTTTTTCATTACAGTAGCAGCTTCTCAAACTGTTAATGAATTGAAGTTATTTTTTCTACGTAGTCCCCAGCTTTTAAATTAAAGCTTTCTCCATCTTTCTGGTTTCTGGATTATAATCTGAAGTACAATCATTTTACCAGCACAAGTTGTCTTTTTAAATTCTTGATTCAACCATTTGTACTTATTTCTTTTTCTCAAATTCTGTTTAACAGTTGTATTCATCTCGTTTTGTAAATAAAAGAGAAAAGTCATTGCCTTCAAGAGTGTATAGATTGGTGGTGTTTAAATGAACATGACTTTTTAAGGTTCAGTTATTCCATTGGAAATATTGATCATGAAGTATGTAGGCAGTATGACTGAAGTACCATAGTTAATTCTTTTAAATTCTGTAGATTACATATATTTCTTAAGATTCAGTATGATGATGTCACCATCTTATATTTCTTTCAAAAGCCAGTAAGTTTTAAGTTTAAACACCATTTTGACTGCTGAGATAAACTTGATTCTTAGTCCAAATATGATCATATTATATAGTCTCCCGAGTGGCTATTATGTACAGTTTATTTAAAGTGCTGTACAGATCTGTTACTATCACCTGTTGAAACTTGTGTTATAGGTCATAGGTATAACCTTTTAAAATGAAAATGTTTCAGCAAGGCCAGTTCATGTTTCAGTTTTGCTGAAACACAATGCTGCCTTATCTCCTGATTGTGAGGACAACTCCGTGGGTTGACATGCTCCTCCTTTTTGCTGATACATAGGAGATAACACCAGACTGTGTTTTGCAATTATGCCAGCTTCAAACTGATTTAGACTATATATGGATAATGTTAACACTGGTGGATATGCTGCTGTGGAAAAAGAGTTTAAACTAACCAAAAACATGAATTTGCACTGCAGTTTTGTCATATAAATTATGTTTTCATATTGTAGTAGGAAAAATACATTGAGGTGAACCTAGTGTTTCCTCTTTCTTGTTACTACTGTAGTTTTTGTGATTTTTGAAGACTACTGTACCGGAAGATTCTGTTAATAAGCTAAAATACTGTCTTATGCAGAGAAAAACTCGCTTAGAAACCTTAAGAATTCTGATTGAGACTTATTGCATTGTTACTATTTTAAATTAGGGCAAATTCTTTGACTTCAGTAACTTAAGATTCTATTATCTATTCAGATCTGCTGTCTGGTCCTTTTTTCTTGAGTGAGATATTTAGGAGTCTCATTTTTCTGATAATTAACTCTGACTTCTAAATGTGCTTTGTGACTTATGGTGAACAATGATACAACACTGAGGTGGGAGTCATTAATTTACAATGTATGCTGTGTGATAAACACTTGCTTGGTCGAGCTCATACAGTCAGTAATGCATACTTTATATTTTTCTGAATAAAGGTAAATTATTATTTTGAGAAATTAAGGATATTTATAACTTTCACTTACCTATGCCCCAATATGTTAAATGAATGATAGCATAAATCACTTCTTGTCACTTACCACAGAATGAGGTGCATAAATTATCATACTCTCCTGTCCTTTATCTTGCAATATTTGCTTATAGAATTTTTAGGTATTTTATTATAAATTTTATATAAGGAAATCCCACTAATGTGCATAGTAGCCATCACTATTAATTTTATCAGTACTTTTAATTTAAAATGATAATAAAAATGATATGTGAAATATCCTTGTTAGTATTCATCTAGTGATTAGATTCTAATCTTTTCAAGGCACCAATATATGCACTGTGCAATGGACTTTCTTTATTAGATTGTAACAACTAATTATAAAAACAGATTGCAGTATTTATCACAGCCCTAAGTTTAAATTAATTATTTTGCCCCAGATCAAATTTGCATTGTACATGAATTACCCAACTGGTTTATACATTATAAAGTTCTTCTATTCTTTAACTTTGATATATCTTTACATGTGATTTATTTGATTGAGTAAATGAAGTGGCAAATGTGATCAGTTATATAGGAGAACGTTGTACCCTACAGAAGTATAAAATGTATATGCATCGTTTAAACAGTATCACATTTAAATTAATCTTTTAAAAAGTCTCTGTGTATTCTCTTATGCTGTTATGTAACCAAGAAAAGATACGGATTTAGTCACAAAGCATTATGAATGAGTAATGACATAATGTACTGCCTCTATTTTATATAATACAGTTAGAAAATATAAAATATATTCCTTAACATGAAGCAGCATGTGCATAAAATGTCTTGCTTGCTATTTGGGAAAGCTGAATTTTTCCTATAGTACAACATCCCAATTCAAAAAAATAATTATGGATGACAATTAAGGTACCAAAGCTAATTTCATAATATGTGGTTGATCTTTGGCAAGAGGTAGAAGAAAATCTAGATCTGAAAAAAAATATGGGAAATTTATTTAGGAGGTGGGTGGGGCTTACTCAAAAGAACCAAGGTGTTTGTGATGTGTGTGTACGTGCACAATTTTCAGCTGAGTGTATAACATGGAAAAAAATTCTTTTTACACATAACACTCAAATAAAACGGAATAAAATATATTCTCAAAGTCTCAAAGTAATTTTCACAAAACATTATATTGATTAAAGTGTCAGAAAACGTTAAAAGTTAACAAAATATTAAAAGCAGCCAATTAAATTTGGACATGGGTATTACAGTTTATGAAGTTAGATGTCACAGCAAGGTAGCACCTGGATTTCTTCCATATATTGCGAATTTTTTAGTTTAAATAAATGGGAAGTCAGCTTTGACACCTGATTGCATATAGGATTAATAAATAATCATTTTTTAAAATGCAAGTAGATATAGATTGGTGCTTTGTTTGAAATGTTCCTTCCCACCCCAAAAATGGCAAAGGTAAGTTGGTCTATACTATAGAAAGAAGGGGGTAGGAAAGGGTACGTTAGATAATGAAGCAACTTTACAGTTTGTTTTCTGGAGAATGGGGGCTTTTTTTAACTGACCATACCTGTCACAGCAGCAGTATTTAGCAGTCAGGCCCATCAATCATACCTATTTTAGAAGAATGTCCATTATGCTCTTTCAGTACTTTAAATATATCTGCACAGTTATCTCATGGCTGCACATATGATCAGATAGCTCATCCAAACAAGTGAGTGGACTAGGAGAAGTAAATAAATGTTAAATAAAGGATTGTGAGATTTGAATTCTAACATCCAGAACACAAAATTATATACTCCTGGAATAAGGATTATCCAAAAAATTGCTGGAACTATTAGACACAGCCTTGAATGAAAGATTGGATTCAAACATTGCAACACATAAATGTGTTATAATTAAAGGAAAAATTATTCTCATTATCCTATCTCTCTCCATATATTTGTAGATAAATAAATATACAGAGAGAAGAGATAGGACAATGAGAATAGTTCTTCCTTTAATTATAACACATTTATATATTCTAAAAATTTGAATCCTGTCTTTCATTCAAAGCTGTGTCTAATAGGTCCAGCAACTTTTTGTCTATAAAAAAAAAAAATAGGTAATCCTCACTCCAGGAGCAGATAATTTTGTCTTCTGGATGTCAGAATGCAAATTTACAACCTGTGCTGATGAGATATAGTTTAAGTTATCCTTCAACAATTGTGGTGCCTTCTAGGTTTCAATCCTCAGGATTATGAGCTATGTTGACTAAGGAACTTTGCATATTGGAGTCATGCACTTGGAAGGTGCCCAGGTTGGAAAAGTCTACTCAAGAATATTTGCCTTATGGAGAACTGTCCTGTCTTGACCTTATTGACTTAGATATGTATTATGATAAGGCAGCTGCCATTTGTTTCTTTGAACCTTTTATATTTAAATTTTTTTTTTTAAAGAGAGAACAAGGTACTGTCCTGTGGCTTCAAGATCTTTAAGTGTTGAAAACAATTCAGTATGGAAAAGACTGAATTAATAAAAAGAAAAGATTTTTCAAAACTAGCTAATATTACAAAATTAAGAGCGCAGGCTGTAAATTTTAACAAAATGTCTTCCTATTTCATGTTTTTTTTCAAATTAAATCTTTCTCTTGGTTAACAGTATCAGTTTACAGATTAGTAAAAGATAGTAATTTCCATAGTGTTATTCTTACAAAATAGTGATATCAAAAGCAATAAAACTAATCAGAATAAAATCAGTAGTGGCAATAAGCATCAGAATGAATAGCAAAATGCAATGTGATGACAAGTTACGATAACAAGTGTTGTGTAGCAGATAAATTATTTCACTAGTCTTTTGACAAGCTATCCACGATGATCTTACCTGCCTCAGATGACTGTTGTGGTACTGAGATGGTTTTTCTGAGTAAAACAAGTTAACGTAATGTATAATGTATGAATATATCATTCAATAATGTTTCAGCCTGAAAAACTTCAGAAATAACTGATAGGTCACATTAAATTATTTTTCACATATCCTAAGTTTTTTTAAATACAGTATTAAAATTGCTGTTTTTATAATGGTAACCCAGAGAACATTTTGTTTAGAAAGAAAGATTAAAAAAATGTAACATTTATGTATATTTTGGAACAACCTTATATTCTATTCCTCTTAAGGAGAATGGTGCATTTTTGCTCCAACTTCATTCAATATGTAGGCCATTCTGTGGTACTCATTTCCTATCAAATGCAGATTGAAAACAAAGTGAATAAATAGCAAAATTCTATGAAATCAGTCTGTATTTCTTAAACATTTCATGTTTAAAATACTTATCTAAACTTATGTAATAACAAGACATCTAGAAAAACACATGTTTCTACCTATAATGAATATTCCTTATACTGGAATGCTGGGTTTTTTATTATTTTTTGTGCCTTCAAATTAGTATCGACTGTGACTTTTTTGCCAAAGTTTTTCAGAAGGGCTTTGCCCTTGCCTCCTTCCTAGGGTTGACAGAGTATGACTTGCTCAAGGTCACCCAGCTGGCTTCATGCCTAAGGTGGAACTAGAACTCAGAGTCTCCTGGTTTTTAGCCTGATGCCTTAGTAGCTGCTATGCTAATCTGGCTGTATTTGCTATTAGGCTGTTTAATAAAAGCTGTTGAATGACATTTGTGTGGCTTTCTTCCTAGCATGGTATATGGTGCCAAAATTTAAAACTTTGAATTCCAAATTCCAAATAATTTATTACAGCAGAGTTTTTCATCTGCAAAATGCATAGAATAACATTCAGATTATAATCCATTCCTCTCCTAAGCATGCTTTCTATTAGTTTTTACTGATATAACTAGGATCAAAATAAATATATTTAATCTGTCAGTAATACTGATCAATACATAGGCATACTGGACATTTTAAAAGTTATCCCACAATAAATAATATAAATTTGTTCCTCTGCAAAGAATCATATTTTTATTACATTGAATCCAGTTAAAAAATAGCTATATTTTAGCAGACATTCACAGATAATTGTCATTTTGGTAATTATTTTTAATTGATGCAGACTTCAGTACAGTTAGAATTTAATAGGACGTTACCCTTTAATAACTTGTCCTATTAATTTCATGTGTTCTCTACTGTAGATATAACTAAAGCTTCAATCCTATACATATATACCTGGACTTACCCTTTTGAATAGATACATAAGTACCACCCATCCATTGCAAATATAATTATATTTATTAAAAGGCAGAAGCCGTCAGTGTAATACAGTAGATGGCCCCTTCTCTTTTTCTTGGACCAACTTCCAGATGGTTTGCAGAGGATATTTCATGTGCTGGGAGAGAATATAAGTGAAGATACTATAGAAATTTATTTGCATAATATTGAGACTAGTCCAGTATTTGGATCCAATTTTACATGCATATCCATTCAGTCTTAATACTTTTTTAAAATTTTTAAAGGCACATAAGACTGCTTTTTTGTTCCTAATATCAGCCACTAAATCAGGAAAAACATGAAACTTGTGAATCAGTCTGGAATCAAAGGGAATATAGTTAGCCAAGCAGAATAAAATTCTTCTATTGCTATATTTATGCCATCTATCCTAATGAATAATCATTGTACTGTCACATAAAAGCCTTGTATCTTTGAGTTAGTTTCCTTAGCAGTTCAGGCTTTTAAATTGATCCTATCCCACAGGCTGGTTTAGATAGGAAAAAAAAAAACAGTTTGCAGTCTTGTAGGCTGTATTTCCAAAAATCTTAGGTTGTTTTCCTGAGATCAAATAATTCCTCTTGTTTTGACAGAGCTTCATCTGTTAGGCCACATGTGCAATCATTGTGTCATGGTAAGCTTTCACATTTTCACAGCTTGCTTTATGTGAGTTGAGAGGTTAGTATTATTACTCAGTGGATAAGATCTAGTTGTCAAGATTCCCAGACCAGGGCATAGCTCTAAGTCACATTACTTTACATGGCTTAACTAGGCTGCTAGCTTAACCTACCAGGGGTGTCAAACTGCTGGCTCGCAGGCCGGATGCATCATACCGAAGCCACGCCCACTCCATTGCCGGCAATGCAAAAAGAGTCGCGATATGTCACGACACATCACATGATTTGGTGAGTTTGACACCTGTGACCTAGACAGAAATCTCCAAAACACCTGACTTTGTTATTGCAAACTAGGATTAAACCGTGCAATCACTAGATTGTCCTCTGTAAGTGTGTACAGGCAGTTCTCTCTTCTGTCTGTGACATTTTAAATCCATTGCTTTTCCATGCTACTGAAGGGAATCTTTGCCCTTCAACAGCATAGAATCTTTTTATGAGAACAGCCTATCTTAATAAACAGCATTTTAAAATAAGTTTCTTCTGTTTTATTATGAGTATCATTATTATTGTTACAAGACACTTTCTTGTTGGGAATATGTGAAGAGTGAGTCTCTGTAGTAAAAGGGGCAACATTCTTGTATTTAAGCTAATTTTAACAGGAAACAAAAATGCTAATGATAGTTTAAGCCTCTAGATTCTGGCTCTAGAAAGCAAATCACAGGTTTAAGCCAATATACTCCTTAATGGTTATTTTATTTACTATTTAAAGGCTATGTAGCTGCTTCAGTTAGTTAAGAAATTAATGTATGGATCAAAATCCTGGTCAATGCTCACAATAAATTTACATGCAGTAGTAATAGTTGTGTGACAGTGAGATGGAAGGGGTACAAATAATACATGTAGACTACAATAAATTACAATACATTAGTTCATTGACACAGCTGTTCAGGATCTGAAGATAACTTGACCCAAATGGAAATTTAATAAGGTAAAGAGTAAAATAATTATTTTTGTGTGTGAGTTTCCTTTTGGAAGACAATTGAATTTTCCTAAATGTTATTGAGACCTCCAGAAACGAATATCATTTGCACAAAGTGCTGGTATTCATGTAAAAAGAAATTACCTTCTAATAGTAGGAAGATACTGGGAGAACTTGAAAGCTTTTGCCTTCCTCCCTTTTTCTGTAAAATAACTTTGTGCCTAATCTGGATGATTCATGATGAAACGTACTGTGTGACTATCACCTATTGTCGTATTGTCTTGAAAATACCTATACTAGTTTATTACTTCTCTTTCTTTCTTTTTCTTTCTTTCTTCATGTTTGCTATAGTCTCGACAAACTCCTGAAGGTGAATTTCTGCCCCTCGATCAACTTGAACTGGATGTAGGTTTTAGCACAGGGGCGGATCAACTTTTTCTTGTGTCACCACTTACAATCTGCCATATGATCGATTCAAAAAGCCCCTTCTATGACCTTTCTCAGCGAAGCATGCAAACTGAACAGTTTGAGATTGTTGTCATCCTAGAGGGCATTGTGGAAACAACTGGTAAGTACAGTGATTTCAGAGATAATGAAACATGCGTTTGTATTTTGTTTCTGCCACACACACCAAAAAAGTAATGTTAATTAATAAAAATCTATGAAAGTCACTTATGGATGCAGTAAATACAGTCAGTAGTAATATTGAACATTTGGAAAATGTTTAAGAGAATCTGTGTCTGAAACATTTAAGAAACAATGGGTGCTGCTGTTGAAACATTGTTTGAATTGTTCTAGGTTGTATTTCTCCCAAATATCTTGAATTGCTGTTGTACCTTATAATCTTTTTGATACTAACATACATTAAGAAATGACAGATACATTTAAGTTGACTCACATTATATGCAGGTGAGATTTGTATGTCTGCCAAAATCCTACAGACATTATGAAACTAGGTGTGTGGAATTTCTTGTTTGAGAGTTCTTTCTTGAACAATAATAACTTACCAATAAAGCTGAGGAGGAAAGCATGCAATTCTATAATATATATCACTAAACTGAAGAAAAACCATTTCATTAAAAAATACCTGGTTGGAAATGAATTCAGCTGATATTTGTAGTGAGATCATTTTTCTGAAATGTTTGCCTTTGTCTTGTCTCCCTTCTCCCCTAGTCCCCAAAGAGGCACACAAAACCTCTGAATTATATGCAAGCTTTAACTAGTATCTTCCCTGTTTCAGCAATGCATAGAACAAAAGAGTGTCCTAGTCAATATTTTAGATGTTCTCAATGTTTATTAAAATGGTCATACATGAGCATTTCTACAACTTGATAAATATTTTGCTCTGCCTTAAGAACACCTATTTATCTTCTAATTCCTGATAATCCCTCTCAGCACTCCTAGGTTCTGCCATACACTTGCCCTATTTTTTCTTGCATTGTTATGTTTATGTTGGCAGAATAAACAGAATATCTTCACTTTGACAGTACCTCTATCTCCCCCCCCCCATGTGTGAGAATATCAGCATTGTGAGAACATTAGAACTGTTTAGTGTGGTTGATTTGTTTTACTTACTCATTTAGAATATTTACGTGGCTGCTCATCTTAAGTGAATAACTTTAGGTAGTTAACAATAGTACAAAAACTAGCATATTAATGCCAAAGCAGAACACCTCCTTATGTGTAAGCTGAGCACTCCTCCCCAATAAAGGTGTAAACATTGAATGTAACATTATTTGGTTCCCCAAGACATTAGCTTCATAGGCATTTGAACAGATCAGTTAGGAATTAATCTTTGTTGTACTTTAGGAACACTACTAATTACAAACAGTTTAGACTCATTAAGGTGCATAACAGTTACTCAGAGGAATAACATTTATCCACTTTTATTTCTACAAATCTAGCACCCTTTATGTGTTGCCTCCATGCAGTGGATTGCTTACCTTTTATTCTCACAATCAGACTTTACTAGCAGTTACAAGTCTATATCCCCCACATTCTTACTCTGAGATTTTCTTGTCACTAACCATTTCCTGAAAAATGGCCCCATTATAGTGACCATCTCAGACAGGTTATTGGCTGTTGCAGGCTTCTAAATCATCCTGGAAAGTTTTATAGTTGGATCCACTGGTGATTACATCAATATGAAAGGACATAATAAACTGAATTCTGTTATAACTCTGTCATCAGTAGAGACTAGAACAGCTATAAATTTGATCACTGTTGAGCATCCTCTGCTTCAGATTGGCCTCATGAAATAATTACGGGAATTGAAGTACGAAGCCATTTAAAATAGCTGAAGTACATATAGAGAAAAAGTGGACTTTAATTCTTTGAGACATAACATAGACCTTATCTGAAAGCTTTCGTGAGTCACATACCAAAGAAGCATTTCTTTCTACGTGTATTGCATTCACATATTTCCCCCAGTGGAGCTGTTGAAAATGAAGATCTGAACCAATTCAGATCTCTCTTCTCCTGAATCAAAACTGAGAACTTCAGTGGCCAGCTGTGATATTTTTAATGAATATTTTGTCAGTAAAATATCTTGCATCCAAGTTAACTTGGATGCCATGACTGAATTATAGTGATGTTTTAGGATTAATATATGATTCTCAAACGAATAGAAATTCTGCTTAGATAGTGCTGTTTACCACTTATCTGTCAGCCCCACCAAGTAAATCTGAGCAAGAACCAATACCACAAGAAGGGCAGGACTATTTTTATTGAGAGTGACTACAGTAACAGAATCTTGTAGGTCTGATTGTTTATTGCCTTCTTCCCTTTTGCTTATTTTAGGCCTAAGGTGTGTTCTTATCATTGCTTTGGTAACAGATATGGCCTATCTTCATCAAGATCATCTTATTCTCTATACTATCCTCTGATTTCTGCCAAACATGGTTCTTAATATCAAGCCAAAGATTACCAGTTATTTCCTTAGTGCTGTCATAAATGCCTCTCTGATATTATTCGATAACAGGTAATACTGCAAGGAGAGTTAGCTGTGATGGGAGACAATATTTGCTATGAAAGAAAAAAGTAAAGCCAAGAAATCACATCTGTCTAATGCTTTGTCAGACAAAACATTAAAGGATCTGCTGGGAACAAGAGCCTTAATCTGTTCTGAGAAAGATCTGTTGGGCTTGTTGGGAATGGTTCAGGATTTGTCCTAGGAATATAGCATATGATTTCAAGAAGCATTCTGTTTGCATGGCAGAGCTCAGAAATCCACTCTAAATTACAGTGTATATTGAAGTTATTTCAGTTCAGTTGTCTAAATAGGCATGTCATGAGACACAGCATATGTGAGACACAAGCAGTCATACATTGACTTGTGTACGTGTAACGTAGCTTTTTCTTGCCTTTTCTAAAGCAAATATGGAAATTGTGGCACACTTAAAATATTGTTGACTTCTAACTCAGAAATTATTGCTTTACTGCTTTTATTTCATTGTTTGTACGTATTCTTTTTTTCTTTGGTTGTGAGCCACTCACAGTTTAAGTTTAAGATGGTTGGACATGTAAATAAGCACCATTTCTGAAGAATATAAAATGGGATAGGAAGATAATTGCTTTTTTAATCAAGTGCAAGCGTTTTTAAATCATGAAATAAGCATGTGCAAGGTGTTTCTGAATGAAACAAAATGTATATTTTGTCTTATACTGAGCCTGAAACAAAATTTAGCTGATTCAATGTCATTTGAGAATTCCAATTATTTTGAGCATTGGATTGGATTTTGGTTTCATAGCTTATGCTTAGTTGCGTCCTCCCCCCCCCCCCGCTTTTTCAAACTGTTTCCACCATAGCCAGCACAGCAGCAGAGACCAATTATGATTATGCTGTTATTAGTTTAATTTGGATGGCGTGGTATGGGAGTGGAATGTATAGAGGAAAGAAGAGGTTAAGACAAAAGAAGGTTATTTGTTACTGCATGCCTACTAGCTTGCCTAGTAGGCTACTGCTGTTTTTAAAAAAATTATTATGGGAAAGTTAATAGCTCGTGTAGGTCGATGAGTGCATTGCATGTGGATTGTGTTTTGCTTAATTTTGCAGACAGATATGCAGATATGTGTATGCTCTACTGTTGATGAAGTTGTGAAAATCTTAGCTCAAAGTGCATTTTAAAAGTGCTTCTGGCTTATAGAGTGGTATTTTAGGATGCCTTTCAAAATGTAAAAAATATGTCTGGTTTGGGTTGCTTTGCTGGTCTTTGAGATGTTGTATACAATCCATGCAAATTCTGACTGCTATTTTAAAGTTGTCTGCAATTAAGAATCCCCCAGGTCCTTCCCCATTTTTCCAGCATTTCAGCAAAGAAATCACAATATCTTTTTCTGTGCTTGTATCTTGTACCTGGGGTAAAAAAGAACTATGCCAAATCAATTGCTTAATTTTGCTAAGTAAGCAGGATGTCAGTGCCTTCAGAAAAAATGGCCAAGGACTATTTTATTAAAAAAAAAATTCAGAACTAAGAAAACCTCTTGTATAAATCTTTATTTAAAATTCAGAATCAGTGAATCCATTATTATGATAAGGGCTAGAAAGATTTATTGAGTATTGGAAAATTAAACATTATAGGTGCAATATGGAATAAATAATCTATTCTTGGTCAAGAACACCCAAATATGACAGTAGACGGGTCTCTGGAATTATTGAGTATGCAATACCTTTCAGAGATTTCAATCTACATTGAGATTTATTCTCTGAGAATGATTTAGAAGAGTACGGGTATCAAACTCGCGATGTCACGTGACGTGTCGCGACATATCGTGACTTTTCCCCCATTGCCGGCAATGGGTTAGGCGCTGTTTTGGCATGATGCATCTGGCTTGCGGGCCGGCAGTTTGGCACCCCTGTGAGGCTCACATACAATTAATTATGTTTGTTAACATCACATTGTTAATTAGCAAGGTGTGCTGACATTTGCCATTCAGTTAGCGCTGACAAAGGTCTTTAGTAAGATGGTGTTCCGAGGCAGGACCATTTTACCTTCCCTTTTCCAGGTGATCAGTTAGACAAGGACATTTTAAACTTAAAAAATTAAAAAAAAAAACATTTTAGACAGCAACACAATACTGATCTGTGACGGTAATAAAAATTACTAACTAGACAGTAACAGCATTCCCTAAAGTATAAGAAAGGGAAATACGCTACTAAAGTTTAATAAAGAACCAAAGTCCATGCACATGAAGGAGAAAAGTAGTATACATGACTAAACTGTCTTACCTTTTTGCATAGCGTCACTATACCTCAAGCAGGAGATGTGCTAACTGAAAGGCATGTTGAAGGCAGCAGCTGTTCTTGTCTAAATTGAAAAGATGTCCCTTTGTTCTCTTTATTAAGAAGTGGAAGAGATTTAGATGACAAATTCTAAATAGGTTCCCCCCCCCAATAAGTAAAAGCAGGGTTACGTTCCTATTGTTTTGTATGAGCCTTTATTTTTAATCTTTTCGAAAATGTTTTAAAAATTAAAAATAATGGGAATTAGCACTCATTGTGTAATGTCATGTATTTATGTGATTCTGGGGGTGCAATAATAAAGGTGCAGTAGCTAATTCCACAGTTGC